CGATCTATCGGGACGGCGAGTAGAAGAGGATAGGGATGGAAGGTGGAAGGGGGAGTAACACTGCACCGCGAGTTTACTCGTAACAGGTGAATTGTCAACTAACGCGGAATCACCGCATTCGTACTCGTTGACCACCGGCAGCTTCGAAACCAGAGTGTCGCTCGCTCGAGCATCCGCGCGAGAATCGGCTTTATTTCTCTGGCTCTGTCGTCCGTTTCCGAACACGAACATCGATGACACCGGTCATCACCGTGTTTTTCCGCCGATTTTCACTCAAACCTTCGCGCTGTGTTTTCCTTCTCTCAGTACATCAACGCTCCGTCGATGTCAATCTCCCAAAGTCAGTGTGACTTTTCAACGCTCCGCCTGCCGCGCTACAAGCAGAGAAACAACGTGGCGATTCGCGTATCACTTGCAAAAAGGCGACCGACACGGGGACACGTACTTATCACCAGATCACGCGACGAAGAAGCAAAATCCACCATATACCACCGCACACCTACGCGGGAGTGTGAACACTGTGGAATCGCTCGAAAGGGAAGGAGGCCTCTGCCCCCGCAGAGATCCACGGAGATTGCCGAGCAGAGCCGAACAGCCACGAGCGTACCGACCACCAGCATCCAACTGCACCTCCCAACCCCTACCGGCTGCGAGCGCAGTGCGCACGCAAAGCACTTGACACGACGAAGAGCACGGAGAAGAACAACGCAGATGTGGAAAATCGACGGGAAACGTCGTCAAGATACCGTGGATCCTACGATGGGCATGGGGCGAACCGATTGTCTTTCATTCGTCTCCGCTCTATTCCCCTGCAATCTCTTCGAACCACTTCTCCGAACACCGTGCACATTGGAAAGCGCGTCGCTTTTTAAGCGGAAACGTATATACGCGCCGTGTAGCTAATGGAAAAATGGGAAGCATAATCCAATGCGAGAAACGAATAGGAATTTATCAATAACAGGAAAAATTGAAGAGCGAGCACGATTAGATGTGACTCTAAAATTAGGAATAATGAGAGAGAGAAAAAAGTAGCTCTTGAAAAATACAGACTTCAATTAATGCAAAGACTAAAATTCTTCTTTGAAAGTATTATTCGAAATTGATATTACTATAAATTATATTATATTCTCTTCGTTATCAAGTGTCTTATCGTTAATGCTACGTTCTTTTATCTTCTTGAAATTTATACATATTAATATCTTATAAATAAAGATCACCTAACGTGCACGATATTCACTTGAAATGAAATTATTAGTACTTGGTATATTTTTTTAAATAGAATTTCACATGAAACTATTAAAGGAAAAACAAAATTCTGTAATGTAATAAAAATTTCCAATTCAATATTATCCAGTTGCGTCGCCTGGTATTTAATTCAACATCTGGCGTGCATACGTGCACGCAAGCAGTGCAAAATTTAATAAACAAAGTTTTAGTTTCAATTTATATCCAAAATTTCTACGGAAAGATTGATGTTCATTTTTCAATCATTAGCAAAATGACTATTTCAAAAATATTTAACATTTCTCTCCTATCGTATCAACAGTGTAACGTACGAATTGTGGATTAAACTACAAAAATATAATTAAAATTCCAACAATTTCTATCTTATGAGGAATGTAAACCAAAAACTATATTATAAAATTCTTCATTCGAAGAGATATTTAATTTTATGATAAAACGTTTCTTTATTTTAGAAATAGAGTGATGATATTTTAAAATTTTTTCAAAGTAATGGATATTTCCATATTATTTTAAGCAATATAATTTATTAATAAATAAATATAATGTATATAGACATTAAATATTTGAAGTAGATTTAATAAAGCAATCCATTAATTATTCGTTGTGATTTGAAAAATATGAATTATCTGAAATGCGCAAGTAATCCACTATATTTAATATATTCAATTGCAAAATAAGTATTTAAGAAAAAAAAGATTAAAGTCTGTTTTTATTTTTCTCTTTCTTTCTCTCTCTTAGCACAAGTCTACCTACTTCGACTACAAATCATTCGCTACTTGTAACTTTTCAAAAAGAGGAAGGTAAGAGTTTGCAAGCCACCTGCTACAAGGTAATAACTATCAAGTGCATTGTTTCCAGAAATAAATCATAACTCGAAATTAATTACCATATGCTTCCAATTATCCTTTTCGTTTAATTATATAATTGAATTCTAATACCTCATATTTTACTGTATGAAAAAGTTGGAACAATTGTATACAAAAGTTTGTGTTTTAAATAAATAGATCAGTGAGAATATATTAGTGACAAAATTCGAAATGCTTCCCTTTATTATCTTTATTTACAATATTCATAGAGCAATCTTTTTATGGCAAAGATCGATAAAAAGTTACAAACTATGAGAAATCTTCGACAATTCAAATCGTCGGTATTTTTATAAAATATAAATTTCACAATATTTGAACACAGATCTTTGTATATAAAGGAGTGAATATTCATTTCGAGAATAAAAAAAAAAAAAAAAAAAAAAAAAAAAAA